GGGGTTGTAGCTAATAAACATTGCTGGACTGAATTTACATGGTCTCTTGGAGTTCCTTGGGCTAGGCCTGACAGCCCTGTTCACTTTAGGAATGTAACAGCTAACCTTGGACACTGAAGGTTTGGGGCTGTTTAACTCCACTCTGGCATAATATTCTCCTTCCAGTACAGTTTTGTTTATTTTATTGTTATGCCAGAGTTGCTTTGTGTGAGATGGGTGGCCATATAAATGTGGAATATAAATTTAAAAATTTTAAAATTTAAAAAACAGCTATTCTTTGTGGGCAATCTTCCCACTAGAACATTGCAGTGTTCCATGAGTGGCTCTGTCTTTAATTTATCTTTCCTTTCTTTTTCAGTATTTTTCAAATGTTTCCTGCAGACAGAAAAAGGGTAGAAGCAGCATTAAGTGCCTGTCATCTTCCAAAGGGGAAGGTCAGTAATTATTTTTTTTTCTTACTTTTACATAGCCCAGAACTCACAGATTGAATTGGAATTTAATCCTGAACAAGGTGTGTAAATTATGTAGTAAACAGATTTCCATAGGCTGGACTTATTCATCAGGGCTCCTGAGCAAATGGTTCTGCCCCTTCAGCACAAAACTTTGCTAAGCTGAGCAGCCACGTCTGAAAAAGGGATTCTATCCAGCTTCATCTAAAGGGAGTCTTCTACCCATATTCCAGTGAATACAGATGGAATTCCTTTTCAGAATTCGAGACTTAACCTGACAGGTCCGGAACTAAATGGGTACAAGCAGCATGTATGGGATCACTAGGACTACTGAAACCAGTGAATATACCTTTGTGCTCCTATAAAAACTTGCATATTTTATTTAGGCTTAATATCTGAATAAAGTGAGTGTCAGTAAATGTATTCATATTGGTTTGTATCAAGAGTAAGAAGTTTGATACAAGACTGTGTATCAAAAGGAAGGAGGGGAAGACTGTTGAACATTTTAACAAATAATGAATTGAAAACAATTGCCAATCTGCAAATAACCTAGAGACATAACTGTACAGGTAGTCTTTGTTTAGTGATGGACTCAGATAGCAACCATTCAGTTATGACAGTGATGAAAAAGTAACTTTGTGACCAGTACCCACATTTATGACCTTCACAGCATCTCTCTCTGTCACATGTTTGTCAGTATTGCTAGTTAGTATGCATTGTCCTGTGTAAAATCATAGGCAGTCACAGTCACATGATTTTTCATGTAGTGACCACTTTGCTTAATGGCCGAGTTGCCAGTCCCAATTGCAGTTGCTAAATGATGACTACCTGTAATTCTCAATTCCCCATCAGACCACTTCTAATTCAGAAGACTTCCTAATTCAGTGTTGTAGCAAGAGTATTGATACCCTGGTCCCTCCTTCTGCTTTGGAGTAGCAGCTCTGTAGTTCCTGCTTCCACCATCTATCTTCCATGGGCCATTTTACCTGATCTCTGCCTTAACCTGTACTGCCTTTCTGGAGATTAAAAGGTCAAAATATAAAAGTTGAAATGATTTCTATAGTACCACCTCCTGGCTATATAGCATAGAGGCATGATAACTAGAGGATTTGGCCCTTCCTCCACTCTCTTGGAAGATAGACCAATGTCATACAAGTTAAATAAAATCAAACTTTATTTTAAAAAAGGAAAGAAAATATAAAATGTTTTTAAAAATCCTTTTTGACTTTAAATATTAAAATGCAAAGATTCAGTGTGGAAGAAAACTACAAAGATGCCTAGATCATGCAAAGCAACTTGCAAACTAGTTAAAAATATACATCCTAAAGAAAATACAATACTCCAGACCGTTCACAAGATGGTGTTTGTCTGCCTAACATCACTATAAAAAGACTGGAGATATTTCGAATTACCTATCACAAGAGATTCTAAAAAAGTACGATGAAGTATGGATGAAGCCTGAGATTAAACACCCAGTACCATAACTTGCATGGTGTAGAGCAGTGTTTCTCAACCTTGGCAACTTGAAGACTTGTAGACTTCAACTCCCAGAATTCCCAGCCAGCGTGGGGTTGAGAAACACTGGTGTAGAGAGTAAAGAAGATGACTGATGGAGATATGCAGAAACCATTGCCTAGGCAAAAGGGGCTGATGCATATCCAGAATGAAATAACATTTGGAAGCAGCCCAGGCAAACACCTTGAGCTATAAGAAGGAGGGGGAGATACAGCACAATCAAGCTTGCAAGATTCTATTATCATAGCCAGTCTCAATAAAAGTAGTCTTAGCCTTCCCGTGGAGTTGATTTCCTGGTCTGGTTTACCTGGAAGGCTGACGTACATAGAAATAAAAAACACAGTGAGATTTAGCATCACACAGGAAACAGAATTGTTTTAAAAACCAGCACAAGCAACTGGCTGTATATTTTACCTATTTCTACAGAAATGGAAGACTTCTAGGTCAAATGTTCCTCTCTTTCTTGGGAGAAGCTGGAGAATATTCTTGGGATATTCCAATGATTTAACAGAGACTGTTGGGGAGATGGAAACCCCATTTCTTACCTAGCCTCTTTCCATGGACTCCTCCAGAGTTCTACCATTTTTTTTTTAAAATCAAACCACTTTTTTCTCCAGCAGAGGGTGGGCTGGCATATCTCACTTTGTGCACATGACAAACAGCCATTTCTTACTCATGAGGAGGTAGACTATGCATGTGAGCCTGCCATCTGGAATATGGCATTTACAACAAGCTTTTGTACCACTCTCCTCCAACCTAGTGTCTTTTCAGATGTGTTGAACTGCATCGTCTCAAATTCTTGAATTATAGCTAATAATTTTGGGAGTCCACAAACTTCTGTAAAATAACAAGTTAGAAAAGTCTAGTTATATGTAGCGCCCTTGTATGCAGCCACCATCTTCACCCTTTAAACCCTCAGAAGCAAGTTTGCACTGTTTCATGAATGTCCTCGCTGCTGCCATCCTTGCAATGCCCAGTACTTCCCACGAGCTAACCAGGTTGGTGAGCCAAGCAACCAGGATAAAATACAAATTCTCACTGATAGAAAACAATATGCTTCCTGTCACTAGTAGTACTACTACAGAACTGCTTTTGCAGCATTTCCTGCTGTGCCAGAGTTAAATCAGAAGCTAATCAGCTCAGTGAGAAAAGGGCTGCAGCAACTCATTGAGGTAATGGGACCATAGCAGCATAGCACTTTTAAAAACACCACATGTAGAGGGGCTCATAAATGACAACACTCTACCATAGCACCACACTGCCCATTGTGCTAAACAGGGTGAGCTCCTGTTTCCTCCCCAGCTCCTGACAACCCAACAGTTCGAAAACTCATGTGAGTAGATAAATGGGTACTCCCACTCCAGGGGGAGAAAAAATGTGGGGGGCGCTTGCACGGGAGTCGGGAGCAGCTGCCGGTAAGCGCGAAACCACGCTTGCCCGAAAAGGGCGTGAAGCAACGGAAGCCTCGCCTCCTGCACTCGCCAGCTGGGCTCTGCTCTAGGAAGGAGGCTCTGGCAAACCACTTCCGAAACAATTGCCTTGAAAACTGCAAAGGACTCGTCCAAAGCAGTCACTGCAGGGTCAGTAATGACTGAGCGCAGACAAAAAAAAAAATAATAATCATATGCAGCTTTTGTGTGTTCTAGGTCATATTACAACCTGGTTGTCATATTTAGCCAAGGAGAAAGACTTCCATGTTAGAGGTCATCCTTTATAACTCAGAATATATTGATACATCTCATCATGAGTTGCTCTTTCATTTCCAGAATGATGGCATCAACCCAGAGGACTTTCCTGAAGCAGTGTTTAAGACATTCCTGATGAACCTATGTCCTCGGCCAGATATTGATGAAATATTTACCTCACAGTAAGCTTTTATAGTGTGGGTAAAGGGAGTCTGGATGAGTCCACTGAAATCTAGCACAGTTCTTATCCTTCAGCACCTCTTGTGCCTAGTGTTTGGTTGGCTTCGTATTAGACTTTTGGGATTCTGTACTCGCATTCTGTGTCAACTGGCATTTTTTTGCTGGATGAAAAGACTATTCCCATTTCATCAGATTGGTTTGTTAACTTCAGCCACAAAGATTATTGAGATGAACTATTCCCAGTCTGATGACTTTCAGATATGCTGCATTATTCCTCTTCCAGATCCCATCCTACCAGCCATGCTGGCTGTTGAGGGTGAGAATTGTAGTTCAACAGATTCAAAGGGAGCAGATTGGGAAGACTGACTTAGTATCTTCTATTATATCCCATTTTATCTACAAAGGGTATTCTTTATGGGTGTTAGTTGTTCAGTTCTTAGTTGTTCACTTTGCAGATGGTGGGGAAAGTTTCAGGTTGATAAAGAAAGCACTTTATACTGAACTTTATTTTTGTACCAATTGTTTCATATTTTGTAGTGCTGAAACTAAATCTGCAATGTAAGGAAAGGATACGATGGAACAAGCTTGTTCAATATTATAAAAAATTGAAAGTTGCCTTGCTACTAAGGGGGGAATTTTCCAGGGACACCTAAAGACACTCTTCTTCATTGTTTCTCCTTAGCCATTCAAAAGCCAAGCCATACATGACGAAAGATCACTTGACAAAATTTATCAACAAGAAACAGCGAAATTCCCACCTCAATGACACGCTTTTCCCTCCTGCCAAACCAGATAGAGTGCAGGGTCTCATAGAAAAATATGAGCCCAGTGGGATGAATATTCAGAGAGGTAAGTCTTTTCTATTAGAATTAGGTTTTGTCATCATCCCAAGCCTATAGAGACAACAGAGGTGCTTCACACTGTCCATTTCCTATGTGGATGTTGAACAGGGTAGGAAGCATAAAGCAGTAGTGAATGCGTTCATGTATGCTTGTTTGAGTATCAATACACATATACATACCACACACACACATACACAGATATTTGGTAGTTTGGTAATATATTGCTGAACTGCCTCCCAAATGTCAATAGAACAACTGCAAGACCTATTAAGGAAAAGGAGTCCTGTGAAGTCCATACCTTCATGGTATGCCATCAAATACTAGTTGGCCTTCTCTCCAGTAATACTTCTCTTTTCCCAGAAAGAAGATACTATAGTTTTAACATTGTGGAATGCTTCTATGTAGCTTTCTTCTCTCCTCATCAGCCAAAAAAAATTAACAGCCAATAGGTTGGAGGAGGGTATGAAATACAATTGCTAAAAGAGAGAAATTATTTCCATATTTACTTGGTGTACATGTAATTCTTGATTAAAGATTTTATTCATGTTGTTTGCATTTTCTTTGTATTCTTAAATAATTTGCCTCAAGCTTCTTAAAATCTATAATTGGCTATAAGCAAGCAGGTAGTCATCATCAAGATGAAGATCACTTACATTATGATATGTAATCCTATGAACATAGAAACAAAAAAACCTTAATATGGGTAGTCCTCATTTAGTGACTGCCTCGTTTAGTGTCCATTTGCAGGTACAACAGTGATGAAAAACTAATTTTACAGCCAATCCTTGCATTTACGACCTTTGCAGTTCTGTAAAGCAAAGGAAAGCTGAAGTAAGATCATAAGCACAGTAGTGGTCACATGATTTTTCACTTAGCGACCACTTCACTTAATGCCTGAGTTCCAATTGTGGTCGCTAAACAAGGACTACCCGTATGCTTTTTTTAAAAAGAGTCTTATGGTAATTAATAATTAATGTTTATGACGTTCTCTAAAAAGTATTTGGAGAGAGGATATTATCCACTGAATTTAAAATACTTTATAAACATTCTGGATACTTTGTAAATGGTTTAGTGACTTCATTGAACAAGGTGATTCTTGTTTGGATAGTGTCAAGAGTGGCTTTTGGGAAAAAATGGACATGGAAGAAAAGGAAAGAGGTAAAAGAAACAATGGTTAAAGTACAACAACATTTGCAGGAAGAGACAGTATTAGTCCAGTATGAAAATGCATCAGCAAATAGATTACCCTCCCAATAGAATAAATATAAAGTGAATGTAAGTAAATGGAGAGTATTTACTCCTTGGAACAGACTGAGAAGAATTAAGTTACAGAGTGCCATGGAAGCATGTGAAGTTAGATGAATGGGAATATGACCAAAAAGATTTGATAGAATGACGAAGTGAAAAAGACTGTGGTTAAGAAAATTGCATATGAGAAAGACTGTGCAAAAATGAGGATGAGAGAAAGATATTGTATAATGTGGATAGAAAGAAAAAGATAGTTGCAAAGAATGTAGTCAAGCAGAACAAAGAATGGTGAAAATTGAAACAGGCAGAGAAACTGGAGGACAATCTTGATGGAAATTAAAAGCAAAACATTCTGGAAGTCGGTGAAGATGGCTAAACAAGGAATCTCCAGCAGATTAAATGGGAATAAAAGTTATGAAACAATCATAACTCACAACAATCATACCTCTATTGCTTTTGGTTTTAGGTCAAAGTAAAGCACCATGGCTGTGGTTGGAGCATCCAAGGCAGGGGCAGGCAACCTAGTTTCCTCCAGCAGTTTTATACTATAACTCCCTTGTCACTGGCCACGCTGGCTGAGGCTAATGGGAATAGAAATACAAAACTTCTGGAGGGCAGCAAGGTACCTATCCCTGATTCAAAGTCAAGGCCTTGAATTCCACTCCCAGTCACAATACTACTGTTTGCTCCTGCAGGACAGCTGTCTCCTGAGGGAATGGTTTGGTTCCTGTGTGGCCCTGAAAACAGCATCGTATCACAGGACAAACTGTTGCTGTACCAAGATATGAACCAGCCACTCTCCCACTATTTCATCAACTCATCCCACAACACTTACCTAACAGGTATGGTGTTATATACCAAGACACGCTCATTGGTCCCAGTAATGATAATTTTCTCCAACTTCTCAACTTTCATATATGTTAGGACCACAATTCCCCAAATTCCCTGGTTCTGCCAATTTAAAAAAGACCAGGTAACAGGTGCTATGAAAGGTAATAATCCAAGATCTAGCCATTGTTTATCAAAGAAAATAGGCAAAATGAATCACAATCTGATATAATTGGATAGATGTCTATAATCCTATTGAATGCTTATAACTTACATATCACCTAATGTATCTGCCTGCTGAAAAATCATTGTCCCTCTCTTCTCCTACATTAATGAGACACACACACATGCTGCAAATACATACCTACACACTCACTCATACTTACACTCACACACCCTGGTACCCACTTTCCAGTTGCTGCCCTCCCTATCTTTTAATCTTTTCTTATTTGTGATAAATTTTTACTGGTTATTGTTTTATGGTTCTATTAATACTTTATGCACATGTCTCTTTTTTTTCTTCCTTTTTTTTTAACAGCTGGACAATTTTCTGGAATCTCATCCCCTGAAATGTATCGCCAAACTCTCTTGGCTGGTTGTCGCTGTGTGGAACTTGATTGCTGGAAGGGACGTCCTCCAGATGAGGAGCCTATCATCACCCATGGGTACACTATGACAACTGAAATACTGTTCAAGGTACAAGTCTGATGTTGTTGGGTTTTTTTTAATTTGTTTTCTTTAGGCACTTTGAGGCCATACCAGTTCCATTTGACACAGTACAACCCCATCCCAAACTAAAGATGGACAATCTTGATACCAGGATAACTGAAAACTCATAGCCACTCTATCTTGTCAGGGTTGAATGTAAGCCTGTTCTTCCCCATCCAGATCTTCACATCCTCCAGGCCCTGGGACATGATCTTGATATCGTTACTTGGTCAGCTCAGGATCAAGGTGTATAACTGGGTATCATCAGCATACTGATGGTATTAGACCCCATACTGGAGGATGACCTCTCCCAGTGGTTTCATGTAGATAATTAAACAGGAGAGGTAAGAGTTTCAAACCCTGAGGCATGCCACAGGTAAGGGGGTGAAGGGTTCACCTCTCCTCCTCCCCACCTATACCAACTACACCTATTCTCTTTCGTCCAGAGAAAGGAGGAAAATAACCTCAACACTATGTCTCCCACTCTTAATCTCTGTAGGTTGTCCAGAACAATATGGTCATCCACAAGTGCCATCACTGTAATATTTCCCAGCCTGAAACTCAACTAGAAAGGATCCAGATAACCTACTTCAGGGCTCTCTGAAGCGGCAACCCAGCCACTTCCTCAGCAACTATCCCAAGAAAAAGAAGGGAGACAGGACAAAAGTTGATCCAGTTATGGCATTTTTAGGAGGGAGTGTACCACCACCTCTTTCATGGCAGGCAGAACCATCTCCTCACATAAAGAAGGTCACCTCTCATGAAATGTTAATCAACTAGGAAGGTCATGGATCTAATAAACAGGTGGTTGGGTTGATAGAACTCAAGATCCTGTATATTTCCTCAGGAATTGTAGGGTCAAATGCCTCTCAGATAACAAGACTAGACAAAGCATCAGTCAACTCACTCAGACCTGTTCAGTTGGAGTCCAACTCTGAATGGATGCAAGAGATTTTTCCCCTTGGGTCTTGGTAATACATGCCAGGTCATCTGCATCATCAAAGTTAAGATCCTGGATGACAACCACTTTGTTACAGACCAGCCTGGCACAGAGCAGCAGTATCCAGGGGCTGCAGTTTCTGAGGACCCAATGATTTTAAGTGTGTCATACAAAGACAGCACATGCTTCTTATCTTAAGTTTATATAAGCTCCAAGTCTATTAAACCTTTCCTCATAGGACTTGTTTTCTATACTGCTGCCTATCTTTGTTGTCTTCCTCTGGACCTATTTCCATTTAGCTATACTGATCTTAAAAATCTGGAACACAACAGTTGTACCCAGAACTGAAGAGTATGCAATAAGATGGATTGTGTTCTGCAAGTAATCAATTACAACCTCAATATCCTTTTACATTCATCCTGATTTACTACTACAAAATCAGATATCCCCTATCTTAAACATATCTTTGTTGTTGTTCAGTCGTTAAGTCGTGTCCGACTCTTCGTGACCCCATGAACCATATCG